CATGGCAATCAAGGGTGGAGTGTTCAAAGATTATGCCTCCGTTTTGCAGTCAGAGCCAGATGCTGGGAGAGGGAAGCAAGGGAATTGACAAATTTTCTTCCATGTGCTCAAGGTACAAAGACATTTTCTAAGGCAAAATACAGTTCTGTCCTTCAGAACTTCTTACGGCTCTGAGAAAAAGAGCAATTAAGAACGGATGCTTTCAGAGCTCAGCTGTCTTTGTGTTTGGGGGTGTTTTCCCAATCTGTCCTGTTACTCCGCTCAGCCGGGGATCACCTCCCTCGGTCCCCACCACTTCAAGGGCTCCAGAAACTCCTCATTTCAGGGACATGCAGAGGTGAGAAGTACCTGGCTGAGCCCGTGGAGATCCGAGGAGGAGAGGGAGCAAGGGAAAGGGTGTTCATGATTTGTTTCCAGATCAAAGGAGGCGGAGAAAGAGGGTGAGAGGGGACCAGGGAACGTGCGGAGGGAGAAAGGCATGGCCACGGACGTGCTGCCCACGTCCCCCTCGGTCCAGCTCTCCTCCCCGGCTGCTAGGAGTGTCCACTGCCGTGGGCCGGCAGCCCCACGTGGGACCTCCTTCAGGGCCCTGCTCGCTCCCCCGCTGGGGAGGGCGGTGGCTGAGGCCTTTGCTGTGACTGCATCGCACCCAGCTTCTCCCTCCGCCCAGTCCTGCCTCCTTCCCTCCCCCACGGGTGGTGTCCCGAGAGCTCTGCACACACATCTCCAGCCGAGTAGGTCGGTGTCCAGAGAACCTGACCTAAGACAGGGAGCAGGGCAACATTTGTAGTGTTTTGAAGGGGTAGACAATTTATATCAACTATAGAAAAGGCTCACACGCCGATGTCTGTCCAGCCCTGGGTAGCGGTGGGCGGAATCATTATCCATCAATACCAGGCGTGTTTCTGGCTTTATGCTCTACAGCCATACCTCGTTTTATTGCACTTAGCTTTATTGTGCTGCGAAGATATTGCGTGTTTGACAAATTGAAGGTAAGAACGACCCTCCACCGCCAAAAAGATTACAACTCACTGAGGGCTCAGATGATGGTTAGCATGTTTTAGCAATAAAGCATTTTCACATTAAGGTATGTACATTTTTAGACATAATGCCATTTATACTTAGACTACAGCATAAATATAACTTTTATTTGCACAAGGAAACCAGAAAAATTGTGTGATTCACTTTATTGCAGTATTCGCTTTATTGCAGTGGTCTGGAACCATACCCCCAACATCTCCAAGGTAGGACTGTATGTCCTAACTCTTCCCAGACTATTGTCATGTGACATCTTTTTATATCTAAAGCAGGGTCAGGTTTAAACCCTACAAAAATCACTGAAGATTCCATTAGACACCTAGGAGTAAGCCGTCGAGTTACTTTGTGAGTAGCTCTTTGGCTTTTTAAATGGAAAGGATCTCCATCGTTCCCTAATTGTGTTTTTTTACTTAGGTTAGTGAATTGTTTTTTCACTCTTGGCTCTCATTTATCCTTTGCCGAATTGTGTTCTTTAAACTAACATCTCAGTTCCTTTTTTTTCTTTTGCACGTGGACAAGGAAGCCACCCAGCAGGGGTTCTGTGTCCCAGGACTAGACCCCGGGCTTCTAGAGCTGATTTCTCCAGCTGCTGCCAATCCACAACGTACCTGCTGGTCTTGAAGGGTCAAGAAAGCCAGGAAGAGCCCGGGGAAGAGCATGCAAAGGGAACCTACTCATTCCCTTAAAAGTTCCTGAATTTTAAATGCGCGTTTGTTTGCACACATGCAAATGCTGATACCTGCCTGGCAGTCTCTCTTTTATGCACGTTATCTTTTCCACCCAGATGATCACAGCTGTTCAAACCAGCGAGTCGGGGAAGCATAGATTCACTATTTTCTGTGCACGATTGTGAATTTGAGAGGTTTATGCAATAGCCTCTGGCTTTACAAATAAAATCTAGGCAGCCCTGCGAAGGTCACCAGAGCA